TGTCTGTTTTTATTATCAGAGGAGACAGAAATACAAAAGAGGAGCTATGCTGGGCCACACTGGAGGCCCCTATAGCCCACTCCACTGTCTCTGACAGTGCTGAGCAGCAACTGCTTAAAGAAAGAGCATAAGAATCAAGGAAATACAGATCTGTTTCCATATATATTCTCAGAACTCCCAGCAACTTGCACTTTTGAACTTAGTGAATCAGATGATTGGTTCCTTCCAACAGGCATCAGCAAACTGGAGTGTCATGAAGTTATCCATGATTTTTGAATCCGTGCACACCTTTGTCTCCCAGAACATGGAGGACAGGCACAAAAGTTCCACAATATCCTTATGTGTCACATTATTGTGTTTTAATTTTGCCTTGGTTCAACTAATTCAGAAGGTCTCCCTCATTCTGGTGCTACAGAAAACAGTGAATATTTGACCCCTTTTCACTTTCCTTGTACCATTCACTCAGGATGCTATAGCCCTTTATCACATCCCCTCTTCCTTGTCTATTTTACAAGCCCTAGCCTGTTAGTTCTCTCTGATACAGAAGTTGTATATATATTTCTGCTCGTCCTTTTTGTCCTTTTTTGGATCTTGCCCAACTCCTCCATAGCTTAACATATTCTTCTTCAGAGTTTGCAACTAGAAATGTACATAATAATAAAGATGTCACTTCATCAGGGAACTTGTTTTCTCCTTTGTTTTCTATTGTTGTTTCTATTGGTGTTTCACATGTTCTTTTCCAGTTTGTTTCTATTGTATCCAGGAGTTTACTTTTTCTTTCATAGTAATTCCCATCAATACTTGTTCTGCCTTTTGACTATTGCTGAGCACTACTGACTCTTTGAAAAGAAAAACCCAGAATGACTTCAAGGTGACTTCCTGAATAATAGCAATTTCCTTGGGGACCAACACTTAGGGTTTTCTTATCCCACATGCACCACATTTCTCAACAAAGATTTTCATTAACTATTCTATTACAGCTGAGATCCCTCAGCTTCCTTTCAAAAAAAAAAAAAAAAAAAAAACTAGCATGCTTAAAGCAAGCACCAAGCTGCTTCCTTTGTTAATTCAGGATTCTAACTTTTTCGGGACAAATAACACTAGCAAAAATGTTCAGCTGTAATTTTCAAGTAAATGTAGAGCAACTGAAATGGCTGGTGGGCAAAGATGTTCCTATTGGTACAACTTCTTCTTTGGCTTCCCCATTCTCTGTCCTCCATAAAAAGGTCCTGTGGTTGCAGTGTCTGGGGTAAAAGTTTCAGTGACTAATGGTGTCACCTGCCGATCTCAAAATCTCAAATACTGTTTCCTGTAGCAACACGACTGATTTTCATTTCAGTTTTTACCTATTTCAAGCTAGACAGAAAAGTGTTAGTGCCTTACTCTAAAGTCGTCTTTTAAATAAATAAATAAATAGATAGATAGATAAAGAAATAGATAAAGAAATAAATAAATAAAAGTCAAGGAAGCATAACTATTCTGGGAAAGAGGATGGGGAAACTGCACGGGTCAGTTTTGGACCAACACCTAGTCCCTCTTAGCAGATATAATGAGTACCACTCCGTAACCTAGTTGGAGATTTTGGGGGTTCTTCTATATCCCCTTTTGCTAACAAGACCTACCTCAAGTAAAGATGAGGTTTCAAAGTCACATCCCTTATACAAGAACACCAGCAACAAGACTCTAGTCATACTAGCAACTGAGGAGGGAAGCAGAGTCTCAGGGAGGCCCTGAGGTACTTCCAGAGGTTCTGAGAAATTTATGGCGTAGCTCGCTGACATGAAAACAGTGAAAAGCGAACACCACCTTGGTGAGGAAATCCCAGGAAAATGTTATAATCTCCAATCAGGACGCCCTCTTGAAGGAATTGCCATGAGAGGCTGTAACCCTAGGGAGAAACTACCAGAATGTTCTCCCTGGACTAACAAGCTATTTGTAAGAGTCAGCTCTTCAGTGACAGTTGGGAAGTAGAACACAGTGGGGAATGCAAGAGGTAATGTTTATGTGCAGTGTCTGTTACTATCTTGTTTAGACTAGAGTAAGGAGTAGAAAGGCAAGAAATCAGCATATATTCAGAACAGAGCAGTCACTTTGTCTGTAAGCAACAAGAGTTACCAAGCAGGAGGAAAGCAAGATTGGTGACACAGATGCCAAGTCTAAAATTGTTATGTTCAGGGAAGGAGACAGAAGATGATATTAGATGGCAATGATATTGCTCGAAGGCACTACTCCATAGCTGGTCAGGGGAACAGACTGGGTATGTAGCAAAAATAAATAAATAAATTAAAACAAAGAGAAACTGAGCAGTTAGGTGTAATGCACTCAACAAAATAGCACCAAAACAATGAGAAACGATCTGCTTGCTGGAATTCTATTCCATTATCTGAAAGTGAAAGCAGTAAGTACACATTGAACTAAGTACACATTGATAGGGAGGAACATAGGAACTCTGAAACACATGTTCATAGTTGCTCATAGCTACGGCCAATCCTAGATACTCAGAAGGGGAAGAGTCTTTTCACAACATTCAGGCTTGATGTGTCCTGTTGGACTTTATCCTTTGAGATATCCTGAAAGAAGGAATCATCTAACAAGCAAGCAATGAGTTTACACTTAGAGCAGTCTCCCAGGACCAACTTTGGGCAAAACCTGATAGATCTGGTCCTTCAATAATCAGAAGGGCAGGAGCAGAGAAAGCCCAATCAAAGCCCAGGAGAAAAGATAAAAAGGACTGAGTGGTGCTTCTAGAAGCCAGTCCCTGATTGAAGGAAAACTCAGCACTGCCATAGCCAAAATCCCTGGCTAACACTGCCTATGGCTTTCTGCATGTGTAAGTCATGTAAAGACCCCATCCCTATCTTGGGTTAAATCTCTGTCAGCTGCTACAAAATCACCTGAGATCACCTGTGAGATACAGTCCATGCCCAGAGTGTTATATGACTTAATTTCAATGCAGCATCTTAACATTTTAAATTTCTCAATCATACTTTCATATTTGGTACTTACAAGAGCCATACCCTACTGCAAAAAGGTCCTTGTACTTTGGATTCCTGTAACGAGAGAATTAATAAAAGACTACATTTATTATTAACCATGTAGCTTAACAGAAATGCATAGTGTACCACACTTTAACATCAGAGTCCATTCTCATAGGACTGCGTACAGTCTAAGGGCTTGACCTAGTGAACATATGCCCAAGGAAAGTTTGTGTGAATAATTTTTCTAGACTCAAGACTTATAAAAGAAATAGAACATCAGAAGACCACAGCAGTACAAGGAAAGGATGAAAAGGGCACAGGCTGAGACAGGATGTCAATCTCCAGTACTGTTTGGCTTGTACATATCATATTCACTGAACAGCTACATTTAAAGATGAGTCTTTAAGGAAGGGGAAAAGGCAGGGATGTGTCAGCTTCCATCACTCAAAGCAAGAATAAAGGAGCTTCTAAACCACAACAGAATAATATCCAGCACACTCACTTTCCCTAACCTGTCACTAAATAATGATGGATGTCCCAGAGACAGCTATCAGGTCAATAATTCATGACCACAGACCAGGAAGGAAAATTCCCTTCTGATCCAGTTGGTGACCAGTATGTTTGCTGAAGCATAATGACTATGAACATTTAGCTATCTATGATGCCTTCTAGAGTCCCTTCATTGAAAAACATCTACTTTTTTCTGCCTCTCCTGCTATGTGTGGACAGTTACTGTAGGGTTTCAATGCGACAAAGGTCAACACTGCTGCTGTCCTTAACCCACACAGCACTCCATGGATATATATTCTCCAACAGCCATATAGGTCAAACACATATAGGTCAAACACATCTAATGAATGTTTTCTCCAACCTTCTATTCTGAATTGATAACATGAAAACACTTCTCATTTCAGTTTTCCATTTTTCTTGTGCTAACACCTCAGAGTCCTAATGTCCCTTGGGAGATGGTAGGAGACTGTCACTAATAACAATTTGTAAAACAAAAGAGTAAATTTGAAAGTCTTATTGCATAATTCAATTTTGGATTATTTTTCCAAATCTAGGACCACTTTTCTGTTATTTACCTGAAGCAAGAACAATAATAGCATAAATTACCTACAAAGAAAACAAGGTCTTTTCTCCCAATTTTGTATCTCATTTTAGGATTATTTTCTATTTCTCACACAACTGCATCCTCCTTTCTTAAAGCATAATTATTGCAATGGCTTGGGTGGATGTGAGACTTCAGCCATGATCTGCCTCTCCACAGATCTTGTTTGGCAAGATACTGAGCTGCAAACAAGTGAGAAGAGGCCTGGCTGAAGGGGAGCAGAAGACAACTACATCAATCTCACGCTTACAGCATGAACCAGGCAAGCTCTGGAGAGGATCAAGCCTGTTAAAAGGTAAAAGGACTCATTTACGCTGCTGAGAATTTTTTCCTTTAATAACTAATGCCTCAGAAAGACAGTGTGGACTTGAAAGTGTTAGTGAAAGCTTCTGGACTGACCAGGAGCAAAGATACACAGGAGGACTGGAGGGCAAAGTGTTGCTACACTGAAATGTGTAAAATTGCAGCATGCAACTGTTACTGCTGTCTACCCAAATACCTTTGTAAGGCCATGAGTAAACAGGTTTTTCACCTGTGATGGCACCTGTGAAAAATGTAATCACTGGCCCTTCTCCTGCCCTAGGCTGCTCTAGGATCCATTCCTGCTGAATACTCTGCAAAGGACATGCCACTCAGCTTGCTCAAGAAGGAATTCTTATTTGCTCTGCTAAGTGCACCCGCCCTGCCCTAACACTGAGCACAGAGCCTGCTTTGCCTTCCCCTTTTGCTATTCAAGTCTCACAGAGGGTACTTCTCATCCAGAAGCACCTGGCATGCTTATGTGCTGCCAAAAGTAGCTAACTGGAATTAAACAGTGTTCCCAATGAGAGAAGAGCTGTCTAGTAACGTGCTCTGACATCATTAGTCCAATTTCTTTGCAAACCAGCAGAGCAAGCTTGCCATGAAAAGACTTACCAGGAGATGGCAGTAACTGCAAGTCTCTTGGTTTTGTCATACTGGAACTTCCAGAGTGGGAGCAGGGTGCCCTGCTGGTCTCTGTATTCATCGGAAGCATCCTCAAAATATTTAAAATCTAAAACCAAAAAACAAAGAGTAAGTCCTGGTGAATAAATCTGAAACAAAATAGCATGGTGCTCTGCTGAGGGAAGCTTTAGAAAGGGCTCTGTCATACCTGACAGCTTCTCTACAAGGACAATTTGATTCTGAAGTCTTAATCTCAAAATAGGACCTAAGCCCTGTAAATACACTTTTCCAAGCACTCAGTCACTGCAACAAAAAGGTTTTAGTTCAAAAGCAGACATAGGTTAAAAAAGAAGCAGAAGGCTGGAGTGAGGAGTGACCTGCCCAAGGAGAGCAGGGTTGTGGAAGGGCTAAGACCATAAGCCAGGTCTCCCAAACTGCAGTCCAGAGGATGAAACACTGAGACAAAAGATTTCATTCATATGGGGACACTTGGAATAATCTATTAGTTTCTCAGTGTGTGCGTATCACCAAGTCACAGATAGTCATATAAACATGAAAGGCTGAGGGATTCTTATCTAGAGGAATGACGAGGCTGTGGACACAGCAAAGCAGAGCACAGGAAAAGGCTCTGGTCAGCAGACCCGGCTCCCCGTGTATTCAGAGCACACAGGTGCAGTACACACTGAACGAGTTTTTCCCGGAGCTGAACAAAGGTGGCAGCACCCTTGCAACCTGGCACAGCCAGGGCAGTGTCCCCAGGGCTGGGCCAGCTGGGAGGCTGCTCTTCTGGCCCAGCCTGCTGGGAGCAGGGTCCATGTCACACGTCTGTCACACAGGGACCTCATGCTCCGTTCACCTCATGCAAGGCAGCAGGTTGTGAGCCCTGTTTGGGTTAGCTCCATTTCCCAGACTTTCAGCAGAGGCAGCACACTGGAAACACCAACATGCTGTAAGGTAGGAAACCATTTCCTTGCAGAAAAGCACTAATTGTGCCCTAATCTTCCACCGCTAACCTCTGCCTGGGCATAACTTGCTAAAATCCTTGAGAGGCGTTCAGGCTTGAGCATAAACTTCTCTCAGCAGGGCCATACCTTGTGCAATATCATCGAACGTGTTCTGATTCACCATCCGCTCCATTATTTTGGCAGCCTTGGAGACCTTGGTTATATCATCACTCTGTTGAAAAGAAAAAACAAAGAAAAGAAAACTTATATCCCACATTTTTACAGGTTCTTGATTCACAGAATTCACAGATTCACAGAATATTTAAGGTTGGAAGGGACCTCTACAGATCATCTAGTCCAACCTTCCTGCTCAAGCAGGCACACCTAGAGCATGTGGCACAGGGTGGCATCCAGGCGGGTTTTGAAGACCTCCAGAGTAGGAGACTCCACAACTTCCCTGGGCAGCCTGTTCCACTGCTCTGTCACCCTAACAGTAAAGAAGTTGCTCCTCACCTGGAGACGGAACTTCTTATGCTTCAGTTTGTGGCCATTACCCCTCGTCCTATCGCTGGCCACCAGTGAGAACAGCCTGTCCCCTTCCTCCCTGCATTCTCCCTTCCTGAACTTATACATATTAATCATATCCCCTCTGAGCCTTCTCTTCTCCAGAGAAAACAGGCCCAGCTCACTCAGCCAAGAGAGTTGAGACCTTGTCTTACTAAAAAACTCTTGAGTACTTTGATCTTTACTTAAATACAGAATAACCTGAAGCTCCTCATGCCAGAACTCAACGGTAAGGGCACTGGAATTAAGGAAATGCTTTATATGAGTTTTGCAAGATAGCATCCTTTGGATGAACCACAGTATTTACTCCGGATCTCAGGGAAAACTGTTTGGGGCGGTCTACCTCAAGGGGGAATGAGCTGAAAGCACACACATGAGCCCTCCCTCATCTCACTTGCTAATAGCTCAGTGACATAATCACATATAATAACGTATCAGTATTCTCTACTCTCTGTTTAAAGAACTTCAAGGTCTTACATCTTAAGTAAAGACTCAGGGATCTAGGAGGCCTTCAGGCAATCACGGGCAATTCCAACTCCCTGCATATAGGCAGATCAGGAAGATCATACAACATATAACAAACATGCCAAAGGCTGTATGTTGTCCAGCTCTTGTGGAAAGTCAGGGAGAATTCAGCTCCCGCTTGCTTGAAGTGCTGTGGAAAATCTCATCCTGCTGGCCTGGGGCCAGTACAAGTGGCAAACTTGCATATGTGAAGGTATGGAGACCAGATTTCACAGATGGTTAAGGGGCTGTTAAGTGAGAAATATCAAAAATTTCAAAAATAATTGAAGTATTGGGGACCTTTCAGGAGATGGCATCTTGCAAGGCCAGCAGTGCCTAGGTAACTGCATCAGTAACGTCATGAAAGGCCAAGATTGCCTAGGTAACCGTATCAGAAATACCGAATTTGGGTATGAATGTAACAAAAGTGGGACCAAAAGAAGAAAAGTCTTGAGGGGTAGGTTGCTTATTTGGAAGAAGAGGGGAGAAAGGGAAAGATCCAGGTAGACAGGAGGAACACAAAGCTGTGGGAGCAGAGAAAAGGGCTGTAAAAGGAGCTGCTTTGAGTGTAAGCAGGTGGCTGGACAGTAACACCTGCCTGAGCTATGTGCCTGGTATCATCGGTCCTCTGATTGGGAAATCACTGGAAATAGTTGAAGGCTGGAGGAATATTTGGGGATAGGGAGCAGGGAGGCAAGGAGAGCGTGATATATATATGCTATGTTTTTACCCTTTCCTACATTTTCACTTGTGGTCACTGACAGAGACAGAATACTGGGTTGGAGATGTGATCTGAACCAGCATGGCCATTCTCATGTTCCTCAGATTCTTCCTCCGTTTTGGGAAGGAATTCTCAAGAATGACACAGAAAATTTGCTGTTAAGTTCAGAATTTAAGAAAGCACAGGGAGAAAGATTTCATTTTTTAATCCAGGTTTCTTCATAATGTTCCTTATTCATTAGGACTTCATAAAGATTAAGAGAAACGAAAGGGAGAGACATAGCAGATATTTGGAACATCCCAGTACAAATCAACTCCCAGTTGATTCACTCTTTCGATTTTTAGGTTGCCATTATTGCTTCTGCCGTGATAGGACCTGTCATTCTCTCAAACACTTCCTAAAAAACAATTCACCTGTGCTAACACTTGTCCAGCTCTATTGGCAGCACAGCTATAAAAATGTCATTGGCTGCTACCAGTATATTACTCTGAGTAAGCTTCATTGACCGAGGTTAAATGGTGGAAAGGTTACAACAAGATTAAAAAAAAAAATAATAAAAGCAATAAATACGCTTCTCTCCAACCCAGTAAAAATCATAGTTACAAGAAGGGTTGCAAGATACCCTGGTGTCCTACTGGTTCATCAAATGTGTTAGCTAAGCTGCTTTCCGTTCATCTCCTTGTTATGATTTTGTAGGCAAAATTCTCTTCTCCCTTTAGCTTACAGTACTGGAGGGAGCTGTAGAAGAGCAGCAGTGCAGGCCCCTACACACAGCAGCAGCTCTTACATGTCCAAGGAAACTTGCACCTCAAATATTCTGAAATTTCAACCAGGGATATCATTCTGAAGTGAGGATCAGAAGACAAGGCTCACTTCACTGTGTTCTCTCGATACGATGAATCCTGTAGCCTGCATCATCTGTAACAGTTTCTTCTTCTTCCCCTTTTTACCAAGTGGGAAATAGTTTTACCTTTAAAAAATCTGAAAATACAGGAACAATAAATTATTCAATGGACTTTTTTCCTGCAGAGCAGAAAACTGTCCAGATAAACTGAAAGAGCTTTAAATCAGCTTTCTTTTTAGCTAGCTGGGCTGCTAGCAACACAGCCATGAATAACCACACTTTTGGCATTAAACTAGATCACAGTAAGTTATTTTCTCATTGGATCATATGCTGTATTGCGTTTGATTTATGCCATGTTTTACTGAAATAAATCTTCAGTGGAAGGGATAGCCTAATTTATCTTTTTAAAGATCTGTTGGAAACTGATTTTTTCTTTTTAGGCCAACCCTGGGCTAGCTAGCCAAATGTAATGAGAGCTCATCAGCTAACGAATTTTTCATTCGTTTCTGTGCGTGTTATTTTTAGAATGGCAATAATGTTAATGGAATCATATGTTAATATGGATAACAGGCTGGTACTTTGAAAATAAATGCCTTGGTCTTGCTCTACTATTCATTAACACTAATTGCTTCACATTTGCCTCTCAGCAGCTGGACAGTTGCAATGCGTAACTCCAGTAGACTGAAGCAGGAAACAAGGCTTCTGTTGAGGTTTAACTGAATATCCAGAAGACAAATCCACTCTAAACCCAATGAAATCACTGCTTGTACCTCTGGCAAAAAGTATATTGTTACTAGAAGTTCCCACTTCCAAAGAAAGAACATGATATAACTATTGTCATCTGTTGGACAGCCATTACAGTCATACACCTCAAATATCCACTGTTAATCTCAAATAATATCTCCCTGGATGAAGCCTGTCAGGCAGTTTTTCATCTTCTAAATTGTTCTCATCTGTTCATTTTTCACTATATGCTCTTAATAGTGATACTCTGTAAACAGCAGAATGAAGACAAGGGAACGGGTAACAACTTATCCTCTCCCCAAGATGAACTTCCAGCTGAACAATTATGTGAAGACTAATTGCCTTCAGATTTTATTTCATTCCAGAGTTTATTTCAGATTTACTCTCACGTCTCTAACTACTTTTTCCCTTCAAATTAATTCTAATACTAAGGTCATACTAATGGAGCCATTTTCACCTTTTCTACATAGACTTTGTTATTCTCCAGTGGCAGAGTTCCACCTCTCTTTTGATAAATTTGTTAAAAGTTCCTGCTATCAGACTTGTGATTTCATTTCCTGTAATCTCAGGCTAAGAGAAGCAGGTCTGCATCAGGGTAAGCGCTTTAAGCTCTTGGGATGTGGATTGCTCCCTCCAGCCACGGCATCCTTGCTCTGAGCCTTTTGCTTGATGCTCCACAGATCCCCTTTAGCAATGGTCAAAGGCAGGATGCCCTCAGTAAGTGCTAATATGTGCAGCCCAAAATATGTAAGATGTGGGATGATAATTCCACAAAACCCACTTCCACACCAGCTGACCTGAGAGTGGGGTACAGGTTCTGACACCACTCACCCTTATTTCCATAGGTTTACACCTGAGCAGATGTGACACCTGATGCAAGCCCGATGCTACCCTGGCATTACAGCAATTCCCCATCAATGACTGGGGAGTTCAGCAGGCTTTTCTCACACTCAGTCTCAGTTCTGGAGACCAGCTCCTCATCATGAAGCTCTGCTTCTACTTTTCCAGTGTTTTGACTTCTTAGCTTCCCTGCAATCACCCTCGGAAGGTGCTAAGAGCGAAAAACATCAAAGGGGAGATCATGGGTGCACAGTTTGCAGCTTCCCACTGCTGTCAGTCAAGCATGAAGCAGCCTGCCACAAAGACACATCTCCAGCATAATTCTTATCTCTTTGTAACAATTGGCTTTTAGTAATCCATCCATTAGGCCCATAATTATATTGCTGACTTCAGGCTTAATTCTCCAACGCTTACTCAGGTGAAAGATTTATTAGTTTTAGAAGGAACTGTGAATTTCAACAGCACAATTCACACAAAGACGCCTGTCAGAATATGCTCCTGGTTTGTTTAGACTAAGAGGCTTTTGACGGCAGAGCAATAGCAGGGTAGCTAAACCAGCAAAATCTTCTACTGCCAGCTCAGCTGTATTGGTTTAAAAGTGCTTATATTCCTACAGCGAGAGCCATTTTCAGGGAGCCAGCATATAATACAGAGGTACATCATAGTTATAGGGATATAACTATACCCATTCAAGCGGCAAGCTAGGATTTCACATAGTTTTCACTGCATTTAGCTCTGGCCATTGCAAAAACTACCTCAATTTGTCTTCTAAATGGCTCAACTTAGACTGAGAGGAAGAAAAGAACCACCCACCATTCCGAACATATCAAACCCTAATGAAAAACTTCCTGAACCCCTTGACAACATTCTGGAAGACAAAGCAAATATTTAGAGGTTGTTACTGTTTTTCCAGTGCTTGAAGAGGGATGACATTTTACACACGGGTTCATTGTCACTTTGGAGGATGGACTGTGGTAGGACTGCAGAGCACAGCTAGGCTGCAACGATGGCACAACCTGGTTGAGAAGCCAGTGCCAGGCTGGCAGCAAACACAGGCTGGCAGCTTGAGTTACGATACCTGCTGCTCAGAAAGGCCAGGCTAGTGGCCCCTAATTGATTTTGTACCAAAAAAAAAAATTGATTTTGTGAAATCTAGGCTTAGATTTCAAGAGAATCACAGACTCACAGAACGGTTGAGGTTGGAAGGGACCTCTAGAGATCATCTAGTCCAACCTCCTGCTCCAGCAGGGACACCCAGAGCACGGGGCACAGGGTGGCATCCAGGCGGGTTTGGAGACCTCCAGAGAAGGAGACTCCACAACCTCCCTGGGCAGCCTGTGCCAGGGCTCTGTCACCCTCACTGTAAAGACGTTCTTCCTCATACGGAAATGGAATTATTTTTATATTATTAATAATAACTTAATTATTATTAATAACTTATTAATAATAAGTATTATCTTTCATATCAAGTATATATCTATATTATAGGTATATAATCGTAAATTATAATTATACTAAAAATAGTTAAATGTGTCATATTGCTTTAGTAACCTTTTGTAAGGGTCACAATTTGACTTTCAAATAGGAAAATTGTGGCAAGCAGCCAAATCCCTTGGAACTCCTTGAAAACTCAGACATTGTTTCTACTTACTTCATTCTACTATTCTTCACGTGTTAGTCACAAACGGAACACAAAATTGATACTGCACATCACAGGAGACCTACAAACCCCATTTGGAAATCAAATTAAAGTCACGATTATGGTGTCACACTTTTTTACATTTTCATAAAATAATATAGCAACTAGAAAAAATGAAATCCTGTTTGGGAAATACAGTTCCTGGCAAAAAAAATATATATGTTTTTTCTGCATTTCTTAAGAGCCATTATGTGTCAGTTGAGAGAACTATTTACACAACGCACACGAGCTGCTAACTTTCACCTAACTTGCACTATGAGTGAGTTTCTGCCAGATTATAAAATGTGCACCTGGCAATACCTGTGACTCCAGAGAGGTTGACTTTCTATCCTTCCTCTTCTCTTCCTTCTTTGCTATATGAGCTCTTGGTTTTTCTTTCTCTTTGGACTTCTCCATTTTCTCAAGCTCCTCCACATAGGCATCATAGATCTCCCACTGCAAGACAATCAGACAAGGTTTACAGGATCTGATTATAGTCCAGAAAAAAAACATCTGCACCATCACAGAAATATGACAATATTCACAAAAGTAATGCTCCCCCTGGAATCAGCCCAAAATTAGTCAAGAGACAGTATTTTCAAAGCTTCATGGGGCATGCTTACTTTTTAAGAAGGGAGTATTGCATTCTTAGCTATTTCCCTACTGCAGCTCCTGTCTTGCTGCTTCATATCTACATCTTTTCCATAGGATATTCTGTCAGCCCTCTTGGGCCATTTTTAGCAGTGTTAATCAGGAAACATGCATTAATCATTTGCCTTATGCTTATGCATTTCTCATGTGGTGTTGGAAAACTACCTTGAAGCTGCTTAACACAATTTAAATCTTGGACTCTGCAACAAAATTCTGCAACATATGATCAAGCAGAAACAGAGCAGTTTTACCTCTTCTGCTCTGCCAGGAATATCTTACTTGATTAGATCTGTACGTAATTTTTCCACTTAAGAAATAACTCACTTGTGCTGGAGCACTAAAATGGTACGAAGCAGATAGGTTACTTTTGAAACAAAGAAAAGAAAATATAATTCTGATACATCAGCTTTGGGGAGGGTGTATGATTCAAACACAAAAGGAAGACTAAAATATTGGCATAAAGAACAATAGCAGAAATACTCATTAAAAAATGTGTTGTGTTACAAATTTACAGGTGGAAATAGAAAAGAAGGATGTTCCAAACAGAAAGGACAAAGAAGATGTGACAAGAAGAATGGGAGAAGGAGCAGAAGAGACAACTTTGGATGAGGAATACGCAAGCATAAGGAAGAAAAAGATGAAAGAAGAGTTGAGAAAAAAACTAGTTAAAATACTATCTTATATTCAGTCAAATATTCAAAAGAATAAAATGAAAACAAGAAAAAGCTTTTCCTCTTAGGTTTCAGACACTTTCAAAAGTGCAAAATTTTAGCAATAGCTTCTTATCTTAACAGTTCTATTTTCTCAAGCTTTCAAATCATCTTAGTGTCAGGGAAAAAAAAAAAAAAGGAAACTCCAGCTGGAAGCTGGATGGAGGGAAGATCTTAGATCTTAGGTTAATTACTCTGTGATTTCAAGTTCAGAAATAGACTGAGCTACAATTTTCAGCTTAACAGGGACACTCCTTCCTTTCCTATCCCTTTCTAGCAACGTCATTTTTAAAGATGTTATACTAATTTACCACAGAGAAAAACAGGCAATCCTTTCTCATGGATGCTTCTGTGGTCAACTGGTACAACAAACAGATAAAAAAGTTTGCGTCAATGTTCACATCAGTGCCAAACGCAAATGCATTTTGTGAGTATCTGTGGGAAGCAGCAGAGTTGGCTGGATTTCTTTTCCAGATATGTATTTCACTTGTACAAAGTTATTATTATCTATATTTATATTATATTTATATTATTTAGTTATACACTAAAAGAACTTATAAAGCCAAAATCAGATACCTGGTTAGCAGTGGCCGAAAAATTTTTACAAGGTGTAGGCTCCGATTGAGACGCTCTGTCCTGAATGAAGAAAAAGCATAAAGAAGGGCAATTAAACCACCATTAACATGCTGAAACTCGTTGCAGTGACACAGTTCTAGATGTAGAAGCTAATTTCTCATAGCATTTAGTTAGAAAAATACTGATTGCATGAATTTAGCATCCAGTGGGTTAACATGCTTTGCATCAGATCTGCCTAGCAAATGCTTAGCGACATTCTGCTGTTATAACACTCTATCACATTTTAAAAGTTTTGACCTAAAATCCCATGTGGACACCACAGAGTGAAAAGAAAAGAGGTGAACAGAATGATAGTCTTTAAACAAATCATTTGATCCTACTGAAATGATATTTCCACTACCCTTTTATGAAATATCGGAACAAAATTAGTAAATCTCTGTGAAACACTTCCATTTTGTGGAATAGTGTTTTCTTTCAGAAAAATATTATGTCAGGATATTCTGAAGAAGCTGCTTCTCACATCTCACTGGCCCCTGAAATGCAGCAGTCTGAGGTGGAAATTGCACATCCTTCCCAGTGCACAACTGTGTTTCACAGCTATTTAAGGGCTACATTCTGCTCTCAAAGGCACCCAGGCATTTTTCAGCAATATCAAAGCAACATCAGTATCAAAGAATATGCAGAACTAGGGAAAGAGAAATAACAAATTGTGTGTCCTCTATAGAGATTGTGTCCTCTATAGGGATTTTAAAAATTGAAGAATCCGAAGTACTTTGCAAGGGTATAAAATCTCCTTGGATTCCCAATCCCTACTGGTGACTCCTCTTAGGAGAAGGCAGCTCCAGAGCTCTTAGATTTCTCCAGGCTCATCAGGCTCACCTTAGGTGAAACAGCTTAAAAACAGGCAAGAAGCTTCTCTGGGGAAGCCATATGGATTTGGACTCCAAGGCAGTGGGGAAAATGGGAGAATCTTCTCTCCGCAGCATCAGTCTCAGAGGAACCTGCTGTCTGACCTCGCAGCTGGGGGCAAACATCATCATGATGGCTCTGTGGGGAGCCTTGGGAAGAAAGGCTCCCTTGGAAGGGCCACGGGCCCAGCAAGAGGTGTGGGGAGCAGAAGGTCTTGGGGGCAGCACTGACCACAAAGCACAGACATGGAGCAGGATGGGACATGTACTGTGTATTGGCAGTGAACATCTGCCCCAGCAGATGCTCAGATGCTGCAGCACCTGAGCTTAACACAAACTTTAACATCTTTATCCTTAGAGTCCTCTTGTGATAAATAGCTGCTTATATCCCCACTCTGCGGATTAGAATCAAAGTACAAGGCTGTACAGGGAGTGTGTGGCAAAGAAAAATGAACTCTCCAAGGATTCCAAGCCTTCAGCTACTCCCCTAACCACTGGTCTTTCCTCCTTTTTCAGCTAAGAAAAGTTACATGAAAAATGCTATAACCAGGCAGAGGTGTAGAGATTTTCAGTAGCACCAAAACCAAGAATCCATGATGCAAGGGTTTTTGTTTGTTTGGTTGGTTGGTTGGGGTTTTTTTGTCACCGTTTTCACCACCCCAAACGTTTTACCAGAGTTAGTCCCTGTTTTTTCCCCTCTCCACAGTATCTGCAGGGTTTACAGGACATAGCTGCAGTGTTTACAGGACACAACATCAAAGCAAACACTGTACATGTCCTCCCAAAGGAAGGCTCCTCCCCGTCCCTGAAGGAGACGGCAGGAGCAGAGTACCCGCAAGGGGTTGTTGAGCGTCTTGGAAGCCCTCTCGATGAAGTTGAACTGGTTGGCAAGCTTGCGCTCCCTCGGCCTGGGCGGAGGAGGCTCCTCTGCCTCCACAGCTTCAGCTGCTTCTGCTGCTCCTGCCTCCTCTGCCTCTTCCTCCCCTGCAGCCTGCAAGAGAGCAGAAACTCAGCACTGGAAGAACCACACATGTCTTCCCCTCTTCAGAAGAGCCACACGTCTCTTCCCCTCTTCACAAGGGCTTTAGTTCAGACTGCTGCATTTTTGCTGTCTAGCAGATGAGATTATCATTGGAGATTGAGGAAGCAGTAATAAAATGGGCAAATCATTTTTCTTTCAACCAAGTCCAACTGTAGCTGAAATGATACGTACTGCAGAAACACACTGGGGCAGCCTGGGGTATGCTAGAAAATGGCTGTTTCAGCTGAAGACAATCTTGGCACAAATTCAAGTGGCTGCAAGTTGACACTAGAAAAAATCACTGGAAATGAATTGGAAAATGGCTACCACATAGTTACCTAAAAATATAGCCTGACATGAATGGGGTCATATGGCATGACTGCCTACAACAAAAGAAACCCAAGGCCCAGGAAAACATATTGCAGTTCCATAACCCATGTCTTCATTTCCCTGCTAAAGACACCAAATTTATTTGAAATTAGTCAGATTTTGATTCCAGGGCCAGACACAGTTTGTGTAAAAACAAACTTCTCGTAGCCTGCTCCTTTTCTGATCATCCAACTACCTTTAAGTCAGACTAGTGCTTATTCCAGGTCTATTTCCAGTCCTTATACCTGCTGCTTTCATCTCTTCTCATCTAGTTTTTGCCCAATTTCCCTTTCAGGGAGGGACAGGTTGTCCAGGAAGTTTCCAGCTCCCAGAAAACTACAGTCCATCCTGATGGAAGCTCTGGATGAAGACAGATGCAGGGGCTTCCCACTTCCCTGTGCAGCTCCTCCAAGCCGAAAAGAAGCACCCTGATTATTTGGTAGAATCGACAGGATCTCATCAGAGACATCTCAGGCATAAAGAAATCATTTACAGAAGCTTCTAAGTCAGCCTCTTTTATAATAAAGTGAATTTCAAATAAAAATAGGATGTGCAGCTCTCAGCTACCTATGGAAAATTACCTGTGCATCTTCTGTGCTTTCTTCATCTTTTATCTCTGCTTCTTCAGATATTACTGCAGAATCCTCAAGTGGGGGCTTTTCTGATAATGGAAGAGATAAGTGTATAAGTCCTACACAATAGGACATATTATCCCATATATTGCAGACTCTTCTGTCTTCTAAAGCATTACTACTGATACATCCTTTTGCAATGCTATCTCATTAGTTAACACTGTGATTCATTCTCATTTTGCAGGGTAATGATTCACCCAAAACCACACAAGGAAACAGTATTATTACTACAATGATGCTGCAGTAATTCTAGCTGGCTCGAAATCAAATCTCTGATTTCCACTCAGATCAAATCTCTGAAATTCACTACTCATCCGGGTAGTTTTGTTTCAGGCTTTGCTTTCAGTTCTGGACCTTTCAGCCCTGCAAAAATGGCTGTAATTATTTACAACCATGGAGAATGACTAGTAGAAAGGAGCAAGGAACATGATATGTTCTTACTTTTATGGATAAAAAGGAATACAGTAGCTAGGTCAGAGAATGATGGATGTGCACATTCAACCACAGCCCTGAGTGCCAGTCCTACTAGCATCGAGCTATAAGCTTACTTTAAACTAGTTAACTTGGAATCTATGAAAACAAGCACTGCCAGCAACAACAATCCACATTTCTGTAGCATTACAGATCCCACTTAGCCCTTTGTCCTCCTTCAAATCCTCACATACATTTTGTTAAGTGCAAATTAAAAGCAGCACTGACCCTCCGAGGCCAGAGCAATAAATATTCTCAGGACAGTATTTCTGAGACAACTTCTACTTTAACATGCAGTGGGAATATGAGAAAATCTCTAAAACAGTACATCTTTCCTTGATGAAAATTCCATTGAGAACTGCTTACTGACCCAGCTTTTGAGCCTCTGAATCAAGGTAACTTTCTTAACTAAAAAAATGAAAGGCGTCATGCTAGCTCAGACCAAAGCTCCAACTGGCCCGATATCTTACATCTCCCATTGCCAAGAAATAGATACTTGGAGAGAGTGTAAGAATGGAACAAGTAGAGGATGGTTTCCTGAATGCTCATGCAGCCTCCAACCATTTCTGCTTTAAGATCACCTTAAGATTTAGTCCATGGATGAAACTTTCAAAGCAGAATAAAGAGTTTAGATATGTGTATCTAAGTAATTTTAATGCAAGCTATTTAAAACCCACTAAACAGCTCTGAAAATTTCAATTAATGGTGTTAATGTCGGTGTTCACCTGAAATCTGAAATCCCAGGCTTTTTTGCACTGTGGCAAACAGCTTAACTTTTTTTTTCTTTCACATGAAGCAAACAACTGAAAATTAAAGGTATTCCATCCTCTAGTGAGGAAGCATTATCATTCCATCACATTAAAAAAGAAGATACCAGTGGCTAGCTAAAAATGATTGTGTTTTCAGATAATAAATTTACCTTCTTCAATGCTTAATCTGGCATTCTGCCTTCTGCCTTCATCAGAATCTTTGAGTATCATGTTTCCATCCATAGAGAAGTGAATGGCCATTTGATCCACATAGCTTATTGGCTTGTAGGTTCGTTCCTACAGAGAGGAAAAACAATAAAATCAGTGAGAAAAAATATGTAATTTTAAGCCAAAAATACTCTGCAGCCTCAGCTGTCAAGCAAGTACTATGCTGATAAATATGTATTTGTGATTGACAAAATTACACTGAATTTCTCCCAGCAGATATTGATAACCAGAAGTCTAAAACACAAAGAAAAGCAGCAAGTGCTCCCTCAGAACCACCGCAAGTGAGTTTAAATCCAGTTTTGATGCATCTCTGTTAGCAATCATTAAAAGACTCCAATGCTGAGCTGGGATCCCTGAATGAGCCCTCGGACAGATCCCAGAGCAGCACCACTCAGAGGTGGCAGCTCTGGCCTAGAGACACCACAGGCTCTTAGCTTGGTGCCCAGGGTAATTAGCACTGCACTAATTCAGCTTTTTGAAGATAGCTTGATTGGCATCTGCTTGTAGACCACTATATAATGCAGACATCGATCTAGACTCAAACCACATATTAAAACTTTGAGTTTCACCTAAATGCAATTAGAAGCCACTGCAAACCCCAGACACTTCACTCATTTGTCTCTGTTAAAAACACCACCACTTTCTGTACTCAGCACAACAGAGCATCAAGCCCCCTTTAGTCACTGAGGACTTGAATATATGGATCGTTCATCACCTATTTCCATCTCATAAATATTGAAAACTCCAACTGCAAGAGAAGAGAAACTCTCCTCTATCTGCTTCCACAGATCCTTTCTCTCCTGATCTAGATCCTTTCTCTCCTGATCAACACTCAAACTTGTCATAGTGGCACAGAGAGGAGACAGGCTCAGGACAGGTGTCTAGTCTCTGCCTAAATTTGGAGATAATCCAATTTAAGAGCTGGAGGAACCATCCCTGCTTGCTCTCATTTCTTTTGTGGCATGCAACCCTTTCAAGGAAAGTAGGAGAGCCAGGTCTATCCTTACAGCCCCTCCTTGCAGCAGTTGCTGTTGTTAGTTGTACAAACTAGGTAGGAAGGCTGCTCCAGGATAACACTGCACACGCTCTGCAACGTGAAGGTCGGACTCCTGGGATTTCCCTGGCAGCTGCTGATGCTGTGACCTTCCCTGGCTCACATCTACTCATCCTGGAGAGAGCTCCTGTCACTGATTTCACACAGCACATTTCTGAACTCTTCTACAGTTCAACCAACCAAACCTTGACGTGAAGACACTGAAGCATGAACATGAGCATGAAGCTCATTGCACAAAGCACCACCTTTTCTTCTCTAACCATGCCTGAACAGAAAAACTTTTTGCCCAAGATTAGCTGCACTAATTATACTCACTGCCAGAACCTAGTGAGCAATTTTCATCTGCTTTTCCTGGATAATAAGTATGTCAATGATTTCAGCCGCTCATCTTCTGCAAAAGCACCTTAGGAACCATTCGCAGTAAATATATAGCAAGATGAAGCCACATTAAAAAGAAATAGACTTGTTTATAAATAAAAAACAAACACAAAAGCAGCTAATGAAAAAAAAAATCTCATCTTGAATTTACAGGTGATACTACACTTACTTTAAAGCTGTATCTGACAATATTTTGGGGAGCATGTGGATTATTGGCTGTCAGAATTCGTGTAAATTCCTCTTTTAATTCCTGCAGAATGGAAACAAAATGGTATCATAAATGAAATTCCACTGTTAATGTTACATACAACATAAGAGGATCACCAGGTGCTTTATGTTCCCTCCTCTGAGGTTCACTTTGCTGCAGATACCTGACTTAGAGCTGATATCTCCACAAGAGCAATGGCTGGAGCACTAATAGCTCAGAGGAGACCCACAACACAGTCATCCTGCTCCCCATCCCGAATGCTTCAGCTGCCATGTGAGTTTTTAGCTAGGCTCAGCTAGTACTTACAAAATGTTAGATTTCTCATGTATGTCAAGAAAGACCATCACTGTTTTGAAGGAATGCAATCCAAAAAAACACAATAAAAATTAAGCTCAGGGGCAGTGCTTGCAGAATTGGTCACTGTTTATAAGTGCCTGTACTAGTATCTGCTGCTTTCACTCCCTGATCGGGGGTACGTGTAGCTGCCCTCCGAGAGGGTTACACAGCAGTGGAGAACTGGGAAACAGCTGCAGTCCAAAGGGTGAATGACTCTGCAGTGCCACCGGATCAAGCTGGAAAGAAACAGCTACGGGGCCCCTCTCAGACTCCCACTGGCCCCTGAGAAGCTCGGAGTTGGTTGCAGGGCCAGCTTCAGCATGGAAAAGTCCTGGCCACATTCCGCTATTGAAAAGAGAATACAAACTTTCCATACAAGAGCACTCTGCCCAAGCCCGGCCCTGTGTTTTGTATACATCTCATGCCCACTTCAGGAACAGTTTTACTCACAGCTTCTGTTAACTCCAGTTGATCTGGGGGTTTGATTAGAGTCTTTGCTGCTCCCCATTCATCAAGCCCCTCTCCCACTTCAGTGGAGAGATCTTCATCCTAGCATAGGAACAGCAAGCCCATTAGTGCACCAAGACCATGACCACTTCACTTGCTTCCACACAATGTTTCTCCTAATATGCAGTGAGGAAGAGGAAACTGCACCTCTCTCTCCATCTGTACTTTGACCAGACCACAGAGCCCCAAAAGGCAGGCCCAGATGTGAAGATTGTTAAATGTTCACAGCCACCAGCAAGAGTTTAGTGGTGTGAGCAGGACAGCCGAGAATCTGTCCTCAAGTTGAGGAGCTGCTGATTGAAGATGACTCCTGGCCTGTAACAAAACGAGTAACTCCAGGAACAAAACTCAACTTCACTTGTGCTTCAGTTGAGAAGCTGCCAATTCTGTTTCTTTTGGCCATATTAAGTCCAGATGGGCCATAGCTTAGAACTGATCAAGACTCAGTCCAGGGACTCATGATTACTTCTGAAGTGCTATTACATAAGTGACACTTGGAGATGAAGATACATAACTGTAGGGATGAGACTTCTGGAGAAATGTTAACCACTTTCTCGCATGGATCACTTGGTCTGCACTCCCACAACAGAGAGAACTGGTTTGCTTGGGCTGAGCTTGGGTTGCTGTCCTAATACAGTATCTTTAATAGGAAGAGGATTGCTGCAGGGATGAATTTCAATTACTTGTCATTACAGATAAACTGTGAGGACACCAAGTTACCGATTAAAGAGTTTGGTTGCTCAGGGCAAAATTTCTCCCTCAATTTAAAATGCGTAATAAGTTGATTTAAAATAAATCAATCATTTCTTTAAATACCATTCTCTCAGGTCTATTAAACTGCACAGCCACACGCAGCTGTCAGCGAGGCTGGGCTGTAAGTGGAAGCTGTTTGCAGGTGCAGTGACACGAGCAAGGACTGCGGGAACACTCTGGAATAAGCTCATGGAACAGCTTGAGTGGGCAGGGGGACAACGACCGTGCTCATTGCTGTGGTTAGTGCTGCTGCCCAGCAAGCTTCGCTATCTGCAGAGCACCACAAAGGGACAAAAAGCAGGTTGCTGTGTCCGTACGGGCAGTCGCCGAAAGCAACAGAGAATTCTGTGTGTGCCAAGCACCAAGGAAAATTGCAGGCTGCAATCTGGTTTCCACCAGGGAAAAGGGAACTGAAACAAGGGACCTGAAGGAAGGTCAGGCTTGCTCATCCTCAAGAGACTGCGGCAGCAGAACGGTCGTTTGTGATGCTGTTGCCCACATGAACACCTGCTTGTAGGACATTTATCATGCATAATTCAAAGCCAGTTCAGTGCCCTTTTCCCTGAGACACTGAATAAAACACTTTTAAGTTTTAAACAGGTAAGCATCTTTTAAATTTACTTTTGTATTTAGAGGTAAATACCTTTTTAAAGGATCAAAAGAGGAATGTTTAACAAGGCTGTGACTTGACTTTGGGAGTGAAAAGCTGCTTACACACCATGCCTGCTTAAAGACTGCATTGATGTTAATTTGCTTTTCTCCATCCGTGTCTACAGAACTAGGTGAACTTACATCAGCTCATGTTTTGGCCCTATATAAGAGCAAGGTAGATAAAATAAGGGTGCCCCACTAGGCATTTATTTGCCTGGCAATGAAAGGCATTATGCTAAGTCTAACAGCCAAGAAGTTAACACTATTCTCTCTAATGCTGTACCTGTGTGTTAATTATATGAATCTGGGCTATGTTTTGAATGTTTTAACCAGATAATTTTTTTTTTCACAATTCATACTTTGGAATTTAAATCACAACCTTTTTTTAATCCGTTCCTTTTGCAGTTTACCTAAATTGTGTCTTTGTTTTAATTTCCACTTTTTATTCTAATTGGCTAGCGAGCTCCCTCCCCATGGAAATATAGAGCAATTCCTTAGTGCTAAGTATACTGTAATGGTACCAACTCTATAAAATATGACATTATTCAGATACATCCTAGTTTTTACCTCACAGATACAGAGAAAAAAAAATAATGGATAACTTTAGGATTTGTGAATCTTACCCGTTTTTTGGATGCTGCTTTAGCAGGCCTTTGCGGTAGTGCCTTGCCTCCCGAGGGTCCGGTTTGGCCCTGGAGAAAAACAAAACAAAACACATCCAATGTAAACCTCTAAAACAGTTTGTTTCCTAATGTAACCAAAGCAGAATAAAGCTTGAATGTGCTTGCAAACACCTGCCACAGTGGCATAAATCATGCGAAGGAAAAGCAGTTTCTTTCCTAATCCAAGACAGCGGTTTAGCTGCGTGAAGCAGCACTGTGCTCTGCCCTTCTTACTGCTAATTTGTTATAAACCCCAATGTTGTGCATGTTGCATGCTAGTGCCCTGCTCAGACTCCTCAGAAAGTCTGTTTGGGCCCCAAATGTTTGCTCACCGTGCATGAGGAGCAGGGATGGCACATTCCTACCTAGGGAGCAGGGAGTGCTGAAAGGAGGTGGAAAAAAATGATGAGCAGCTAGGAAGTCAATCACTGCCGATCCCTCCCGCTGCATTACAGCAATAAATAAATGAGAATTTTAAGATAGACTTTGAAGAAAACAATGAAAAAAAGTACAGGGAGCTTTATGGTGTATTTCTAGGAGAGGTAACAAGTTAGGGAATAAGAAGAGCACCGGTGACAATGTTTTGCAAAAGCTTTACAGAAAGTTGGGCAGGAAACAAACAGGATCCTTTTCAGAGGACAGTGAGGGACAAATGGGAAGAGAACCTGGAAGACGGCGAAAGTGCCTTATTTCAAGGAGAGCTGGGCTGACTGCATCAAAGAAAACTGCTAAACCAAGGAAAGAAGAAGACAGAAGGGAACGCCCTAAGAGGCTCAGAGAAAATTTACATCTATGTGTTCTATAAAGTTGGAGATAAATTTTGGGGATAAAAATAGACTGGTAGCTGATGATGCAAGTGGGATTAACAGCGTAGAGATATTTATTTACACCTTCTGGTGTTAGAGGGAAAAGGCAGAAAAGAAAGATGTTATGGAGATTATGAGAGAAGGTGGTACAGGATAGGTACACAAGCAATGGGTAGATCATATCGGACAGGCAGTAAAACCAAAGGATTTTAAAAAGCAAAAAAAACCAAAAAAACAAACAAACAACAGCAAAAAAAAAAAAACTTTGTGAGAGGGCAGAAGGGTTTGCAAAAGGAGAAGCTGGAAGGAAAACAAAGATGTGGGGGAAGTTCCTATTATATTTTTCTCTTTTCTTTAGAAGAATGTAAGACTGAGCCTTTCAGCTCAGACGTGCAGTCCACCTTGACAAGCATCTGTCTCCATGAGTATTCAAAAGCAGGTATCTATGGAGCAATTTCCAGGATGCCTTTTCAGCCTCCAACAGGGATGTCTTGAACCAGAAATGCCATCCTTTTTATTTCTGATTAGTCTCTCTCTCTCAGTAATTTTCAATCCATGTACATTTTTAGCACGCACAGGACAACCACACGCTACTGCAAAGCACCACTGCTTGCTGTTCAAGTCTGCCACTTGCTATTTTCATCTGACTTGCCTAGTTTCTCTACTGGAAAGTCTAGCTTTATCTTGCTACTATTTTCCTCCCCTTTTCCATGCCTTATGGAGTCTCTGCATGGGTCTCTACACAATTCCTAGACTCTCCCCCATGAATCCTCTTCATTAGGAAAATTAAATTTCCACTTCTAGCAGCTTCTTCCTATGCATTAAGCAATTACGTAGCCAAAATGACTTTTACCCTACTTCCCCAAGGCTCGTTTCTGTAACCCCATTACTTGTGAAGACTTGGCAAGAAGAACTCAGAAGGAAAACATTTTCTTCTGAAAATGTTGACGAGGCTGAGAACTTCAGTGTTGTTTCCTGTTGTACAAGTTAAGCCATGTAATATTAGCAGTATTACAAGGTGTCAGGGTTTTTTATTTATTAGGAAAAAGGCGTGTTAAAAACAGTGAATGAGGAATGAGCAGGTACACGTGGGTCAGACAAGGCTACAAAATGTTTTAGGCTGTTTCCTATACAAATAATTCCACAATGTGCACAGCTGTGTTGTCTGCTGATAAAGTCAGTCTGGATATTCCTTTTTGGGGAGGGATCACTGCACCTTGTCCTCTTTCTTTGCCTTCTGCAAGAAAATCCTTTCCAAAGCGGCACATTGACCTTCTTCAGATCTTTCCTTGATGCTCTTCTCTCCCACATTAGCTATAAAAAGGCCTCAACAGCACCCAGGTAGCTGGTGCATCACCAGCATGACCGTCCTATCTCCACAGTCTTCTCTTTGCTGTATCAAGGTGTTATCCACACAGCATTACTTAAGCCGTAATCCTTTTGCAGTGTGAACTAGTAGCTTGTTCCATATTTACACTGTGCCTGTACAACAGGTTGCAAATGCACCTACCATACAAATAATGAATAAATGGCAACTGTAAATCAACATAAAGGCAGCCTGCTGACTAGCAAGATCCTCACAGCAAGGACGTGGCTTCAGACACACCTGTAAGATTCAAGCATGTTTTGGCTGATATTTATAAATAGCAAGATGTAAAAGGTCTTAAGCTGACAGACTATTACTAGGACCACAAACAGGGGCATTCAGAAGCTAGAAAATAAGAGAATTAAGGTTGCTGTGGCAACCTTTGCTTCATCCCGTTGGGCACAGACATTATGATACACTGATTAATTACATAATCACACATCTTTTGTAGGCTCCGTGCCTCTCTGCAGCTCTCCCGGGCTTACGAGCATGGACGGAGTTCACATAATAAGTTAGTACCAGAATTTTGGCTTTTATGGTTTAGCATTTTCTTTCTTTTAATGTAGCCTATGTTAGACACCCACCCAGCAAACAACAATTCAAACCACATAGTTAATTTTTGGCAGATTATAAGTAAACTGAAGATGGTCTTAATACAGAAACGATCATGAGTCATCATACAAATCATAAGAAACCATGCTACTATATCTGCCTGCAATAATAATAATTAACAGGAATACAAGAGTGAATAATTATGGGAGATTTATATTAGGGGGAAAAAAAAGCATTGTTGCTAGGGAACTATAGAGTAGGTAGAAGGCATAAAAGAAGTACAAGGAGTTTCTCACTTCCAGGTCATCACTTTAATTCAGACCACACTGGGAGGTGCTGTGGCAAAACATGCCAAAGCAGTAGCTCCTGCACGCTAGAAATGGCCTTTTCTGATGACCATTTGCATCTTACATGGCATAAACAAACAGACTTAGCATAATTCCCACAGTGAAAAGGAAATAAGAACTCGGTAACTGTCGTAACACCTAAATTAAGACTCTGTAAGGCTCAAATGGTTGGCCTCTTCTGTACCCTTCTTCCAGGGCGTATCTATGATCGTGCCTGCAAATTCCTACCTGGGCCAAACGCTGACTTTGCTAGGAAAAAAGCACAGAGACACAGCACTTTAACAGGGCAGCACAGGTGAAGATGAGAAAGTGGAGGAAAAATGTTGGTTTAAGTTCTATTTAACTTTTCTTTCCTCCGCCTCTACTCCCCCTAAAGCAGAGAAGTCATTGGGAGATACAGACAGTTGCAAAATCAAGTCCTTCAGCTGGAAGTTTTCCTGTTGCTCTGCTTGAGCTATCCAATATTCTTCCCTAAATGTATTTTGAAGTAGAATGCTTTGCTCCTTGCAAAATTAATCCCTCCAAATAATTTTTAATTATAAAACTCAAAAATCAAAATAAGGAGGAATTCCTGGCCTCTTTCCAAAGGAGCCTGCGTTATATCCAAGGGGCATTACCAGGCTGGCATTTGGGAAGAGCTATCCTATTTCTGCATCTGTCTTTTTGAAGAAATGTGTAAGCGGGAGAGAGAGCCGCTGTCTGGCGAGAGCACATTATAGCCTCCCCGTATGCTTCCAACTTGGCCTGGAAAATGGAAAATAGGGAATCACACTTCGCCATCCACCCAAGCCCTGGTCTTCTCACTAACTCTATCATCAGGGGTTTTTATTCTCTGTCTTTGCTGGTGTTTGTGACAACCTCCCAACTGCTGACCTGAGACTTACTAACTCATCTCACACAAAGCAGAGCTGTCAGGCCCTGCTTGCTTGGAGAAAGAGCGAAAGCTCTGAAGCTGCATGCAAGTCCTGAAGCAATCCTGCTCGTGTGTTTGCTTTTTTCAACAGATATTTTGCACAGTGTCACTTTTCAACAATTTACCCTCTGCTAGAGACAGCTCCCGAGTCGTCAGTGGCAAAGCTGATGGTAAGTAAATCATCTGGTAAGTAGAGATTTACTCCCAAGAGCAAGTGTTCATTCAAGAAGCAGCTCAAATCTGCAATTCCTGATGGCAGAAATCCTTCAGGAAAAAAAAAAAAAGTGTCCATCCTGCACATTCCCGTCCAATGCCTGATGCCACGTGCCAGGAGAGCCCTCCCTGCAGCCTCCTGCATTCCGGCCGGGCTCAGCCCTTCCTAAGCTCGCTGTCGTGGGCGGGCGCTGCACACACGCTGCGAGGTGAGGAGCCAGGTACCCGCTGTACAAAATCTCCTTGGGCAAGGGGAAATCCCTCCCTGAGCTGCCTGGGTTTGCAGAGCCAGCTTAAAATACCACATAATTCAGAGGCAGGTTGATTACTGTTCAAAGGAGAACTGTCAGTTCCTATTAAGCAAATTTTCTGAGGGCTGAAAATCACTTATGTACTAATGAAACACTCATCACAGGGCACTGATAAAACCAGGCTACGCTTGCTGTATTTTTTAATACCACTAAAGAGACATTCCTGCAGCCTCTTTGCTCCCCATACAAGCTCTCAGCATAAGACAATCAGACTGCAAGGCTGAGGAATCAAAGATCACTTCTGCTAAATGCACTTTATTTTCCTGAGCAGAGATGTTATCCTTCCTTCCTCCCCTAGAGCACAGCACAAAGGTTAACATGGAACCTGGAAAAAAGCAGCACAACGCTGCTTGTGGGATACTGGAGGTAAGAGGGGGAGTCAGTTCTAAGAATAAAGCCATGTAATGATTTCCTGCTATTTGGTTTTTTTTTTGGAATATTAACAGCTTCCATAGTAAACCATTGCATGACACAATGAGCAGAGAACCAGGGCACGGAAACAAAGCCAAAGGAAGCAAAATGACTTCCAGGCTGCCCTGCAGCAGCCAACCACTTGTACACACTAGGGAGGCCAACTGAGGAGCTATTTGCCAACACATTTTTAATCTGCTTTCTGAGAGACACTAAACTGTGTATTTTAGATTACACAGATGGTTTGATGCAGGTTTAAAACCAAAAAGCACCTTAAAGCCTTTGCTGGCAAAAAAGGTAAAGCATGGCTGGTGTGGGCTGCGTTGGGGAGGGATCTCCTTGCCTTGTTCTGGCAACGTGCTGAAAGAAAAAGAAACTGTTTGTAGGGGAGCAGGCCCAAGCCCACGTGCCAAGCGTAACGAGAAGTGCCTCGTGGTCCAAAACCAGATGTTTTCTTGCACTGTGCAAGTTACCCATTGCTAAAAGCAAGGGCTGATCCTACGTGGTTAGTCCAGCACAGCCGTGCTGCAAATGCAGACAAGGGGGGAAACGTGCTGCCAGCTCAGGAGTCACGGCCACATCTCCCTTTTCCTTGGGGGCTTCAGGCACAGGCGTACGGGGCAGCACAGAGCACGGCCCATGGCTCAGACAAGACTTTTCCTGGAGCCACATGGGGAAGAAACAGACCTCGGGATTCAGTGTAACCAGCACTTCCAACAGCAGCTGTGATAGCCACATTTAAAAGAATTTCTTTTTGACAATCTCAGAACTGTTGGTTCCTTCCTCTTGCCACCCAGCAGTGACCCGGGGCTCACACAGGGCTGAGCCCTGCTCTGCCAGCAGCTCTTCTTGTACAGGTCATCCAGGGCAGTGGTTCCAAAGAATACTGCGTTTTTGAGGGTCGGTTGTCGTACTCAAGACCTAATTTTCAGAGAAGGTGACAATAAAACCTACCCATTGACCTCAGTTAGGTTTGGGGTATAGGCTTTAGCTTTTCCATATCTCTGCATCCGCCCAAGATGCTGCTGGGCTCAATTGCTTGTAACATATTTCAAATTCCAAAAAAGGATATTACAGAGGTAAAGATCATACATAAGTTTCATTATTTACCAAGGTGCATCAGGAACACAAACCTGCATCACGCACACAATGATCCAGCGCGTTTCATTATTTTACCAGACTTTGAACACGGAGGCATATTCCCCCAAGTGAGCACAAACACCGATCAGGAATGGCCTAAAGACACTTCTCATTAAGGATTAGATCGAGTGAAAGGATTCACCTTGGAGGGCACAGCCTTTATGCCTAATGACAAATCAGCTGTTGACATATTTTGATACAAGAGCTGTGGAGATTGCATTCAAAGAGAAACAAAAAGGGAGCACGTGGCAGAGGCTGAACTGGAGATGAAGCCACCAGGACGAGGAGGTAAAGAGCAGGCAAAGCAAGAAGCTCATAGCAGAGGAGAAGGCAGAGAGAAGGGCACAGAAGAAGAGCAGACAACCACCACCTGCAGGGAAAGAAAGGAAAAGATTAATCAAAGCCACTTGAAGAACACACAGCCATGAAAGCAAAGGAGGCTCTGTGAATGATGTCTTTAAAGGGAAGAACTTGATAATGGTCAAGTAACTGTCTCGGCTGTGAGAACCATCTTAGGGAAAAAAAAGCTCAAAGAGAGCCATCCACAAAGAAAAACCTAGGAGGCAGAGCGGGGCAAAGGAAGTGCACAGGAAACAAAAGAGAGGAACAAAGAGCTCGGAGACAGCAATGAAAAGGACCAGGAAAAGAGTCCATGGAAATGATGCTCATGGAAACAATGGGCTCACAGATCAGCACCAGACTGGTTTTCTGCATTATTATGATTGCTTAAAGAGAGGAAATACATGAATGAGGAAAAGAGATCTTTTTCATTTGGAAAAGAGATTTTCTAGGGAAGAACTGGAATGTAGACCTTGACCCAATGGCTCGTTTCATACCGGCCATCAGGCCTCAGCAAATAACAAGTGTGAGGCCTGGCCGGGAGGTGCGGAGCGGGCAGGCCCAGCCCGGGCCTGTGACAGGAGCCGGGTCTGAGGCGGTGACGACGAGGCCCCAGGCCCCGCACTCCAGAAACAGCCCCTGGAAACGCTCACGCTTCCCGCGCTGCGGGCAAAACGTCAGGAAACAGCAGCGGGATCTTAACGAGCGCAAGGCACATGTGGGGAAGATGAGTTGCAATAACCTGAGAGATGATAATTTTATTAAAAGTTTGTGTGGAAAGTCAAAAAATGCAAAGAGTTTAGGCAGCTTATGACTTCTCAAGAGCTTCAAAAAGTTGATACGTTTGCAGAGCATTGTTTCAAATAACATGTAAAACAAAGCCTATTCACTTCCGACTATTTAAGATGATGGCGACTGAAAACAACTGAATAATGTTGAAGTTTCCACACAAAAATAAAAGCAACAGAAATTGATAGCATGCCTTTCAAGCTAAGTTTAGCGCAAATCATTATTGCTAGTAGCAGGCTATATGGTTCCAGGATAAACATCCCCACTCTCGGGGAGTGAATGCTGCCCTTGGTCCGGAACTGGAGGCAATAAAGCTCTTCTGTAACTTGAATATTGCTCATTTTTCATGGTAGAAGCATTAGGAACAATGCGAGGAAGGAGCATGACGCGCTGCGGTGACGCCACGCTGCGGTGACGTCACGGCGGAGGCGCTGACGTCACCACAGTGACGTCCCTCGGCGCCGGGCCTTGCTCACCTGCTGGTGCCTGTCGCCCGCCCTGACCGGCATGGTGCTCGCCGCGCCGCCACGGCCAACGGAAGTTGACGGGAGCAACCATGGCAACGCGCCGGAAGCCGCGCGCCACTAATCGGTCGGCAGGGGGGCGCTCGGCGCGTGGCCGTTACTCACCTCCCCCCCCCCCCCCCCCGCACACACAATGCCGGTCTCCCGCTCCCCCCCGGGGGAGGGAATGGTACATCCGGCGGGGCGGCGGTTGTGCAAAGGGAGGGGTGGGGCAGATCGCGCGGGAAGCGGCGCATGCGCGCTGCGCCACCGCCCGCGTCGCCCCGCCCCCTTCATGAATATGCAGCGCGGAGGGGGCGGGGCGGCGGCCGGACCCGGAAGCGGCGCGGCTGAGTCACCCCGGCGGCGGCGGCGATGAGGCAGCAGCAGCCGCGGCGCGCGGCGGCCTCGTCCCTCGGCGGCTGAGGAGCCCCCGCGCCCGCCCGCCCGCCGCCTCCCTCCCTCCCGCGCCGCCGCCACCATGATGGAGGAGATAGACCGGTTCCAGGTGCCCGCCGTGCGCGCCGAGATGCAGCCGCTGGTGAGGGGCGGGCGGGGCCGCCGCCGCCTCGCCGCGATGCGGGGCGTGGGGGGGGCTGCGGCGGGCGGGCGGGCGGCCGTTATATAACGGTCGCCGCGGCGGGGCCGCTCCTGCTGTGTCATCGCGGGGCCGCCCGGCGGGGGCGGCTCGAGGGGGGCCCCGGGGCCGCGGGCGGCGCGGAGCGGAGCGGGGCTGTGCGGCCGGCGCCGCCTCGGAATGGAGGCGTCGGTGTCACCTCGCCGCGAGCCTCGCTGCGCGCCGGGAGGGGCGGCGCTGGGTTCCCCCCCGCGGCGCCGTTAACGCCTCGCCCCCGCGCCGGGCCGCCCCGCCGCACGAGGGCCCCGGCCCCTCGGGGTCCCTGACCCGGCCAGGCGCCTCCCGGCGCCCGCGGACCTGTTGCCCCGCGCGAAGCCGACACCGGGCTCCCCATCCGCGCCTCGCGCGAGCAAATCCCGTCCCGGCGTGCGGCCGTGGGAGCAGGGGAAGTGTTTGGGAGCGAGGAGAGCTTCAGGGCGACGCTGGCGCGGGTGCTCCGGGCTGCAGGTGGGAGCTGGGCACCGGCAGCTGCGCGGTGGCACTCGGGCCTTCCCCTCACAGCGCCCAGGCCGCCTCTGGCTTTGCGTTGACGTATCTCTCCATTCCTCATCTTCTCGTTGCTGGCGTTGATAAAAAGTTGAGAACAAAATAATTGCCGTGTGACGCACGCCCTATTCTCTTTATGCGTGTGGCTTCCCGAGGAGCGGCAGTGGACGCGAGGAGACCAACCCTGTTTGAGGGCACTGGGCAGCACAGTGACAGGAACGGCTCTGGAAGAGGCTCTAGCATTGGGTGCACGTGTGTGTGACTCCTTCACGTGCTCTGAAATGCTGGTGTGCGTCCCAGGTGTGGGATGGAGCCAGTCTCCTACAGCATTTGCAGTGGCGTAACCTGGAACCACCACCTGGCAAGGAGCCTGGAGCAGGCGAGGCCGCGGTGCTCACGGGGTTCTCTGTGGCTCAGCACCTGGCTGGGCTTTAGCACAGTATTTGCTTGGGTAACACATTTCTGCCCAGTTCTGCTGCTTTGTTCTGTTACCGATATCTCTCTTTTCCCTTCTTACATTTTAAAGTACAGAATAACCTCTCAGGACTTGTTTTGTCTTCCTGGTATAAGAGGTTTTTGTGCCATCTGGCCTCAGAGATGGTGCGTTCAATGCTGAAGGCCAGAAGAGTCTGCAATAGTGTCCCCATTCACAGGTTTATTTCCCAAGTATGAACTGTGACCACTGTAAACTGAAGCTATTGAGAGATGTTTTGAAGCACAATCCTGCTGAAATGTGTACGTGGCCACTGCCTGGCAGTGTCCAAGGGGCCCAGAGTGTTGCTTGTCCCCAAACCCTCCCCAAATCCCTAAACTTGCATTGCTGTGTTCTTGAGCCGCACGCGCCTTTCGGAATGTCCCATCCCTCTGCGTGGATGACGGTCTCTTTGATGCTTTCGTGCTGCACACCAGACTAGCTGGCAGATAGGCCTAGAAGCTGCTGAGCTGATGTCGTGCAGGTTTGGCACCACTACAGCTGTAAGATGCTTATGGAAAGCTGTCCTTAGAAAGCAGCCTTTGCAGGCAGCTCAGCCTCCAAACCACCCATGCTGGCTCTGCTGATTGCCTGTCCACCGGGGTGACAGAGCATGAACGTCTGGTGCCCACCGAGAATATTCCCTGACAACAACCATTGCTGCTGTTGCTGAGCAGGAGCAGAGAGCTTGACCCAGCCGTGGCTTTTTGCATCAGGAGCTCCTTCAAAAATCGCATGCGTCTGGAGGGTGATGGAGGAACCTTCTCTCTTTCCCAGTCCTGTGCTTTGTTCGGAGGTGTCTGACCAAAACCTGTCCAGCAAGGGTGGCGTTGGTGCCTTGTTGCAAGATGGAGGGCAGCCCCAAACTGATGTAAATGGGAGTAATGTGGGGTGCTGCTCGGGGACAGCCCCCCGAGACCTCTGGGTGCTGTGGGTTGTGCCCTGCTGGTGCCCGGCTGGGAAGGGGCTGTGCTGCAGAACGAGGGGCTCTTGATCTGCAGGCTCTGCCTTGGCCACCTCTTCCATAAAAGATCCTCTGCCTTGGCCAGCGCTTCCATACGCTGTGATCCTGTACAGTTCAGACCTGGTGATAGAAAGCTAGGAGCATGGACAGCTATTTCCTTCCCCCCAGCCTGCTTGAATAAGCATCACAGAAGTCAGATCCCTTGACTCTGCCTGAGCTGTTCTAAAAACAGGCATTGTAAGAGGAGAACTGCCAAACACTGATGCAACCCAGGGAAGGGCTCAGCGGGAGCAAGTTCCTGCAGCCGTGAGGAGAGAGGGACTTAAACCCCGGTTAAACACGAGCGTGTTGCAGGAGGGTGCCTGCTGTTGCACGTCTGTGCAAGATGTTCCTCTGCCTCTCCTGGGAGCAGCTCTGTGTATGCTGGTTGTGGGAGGATGGAATGACCATAACCTGCACTTGGTTCATGTGAACAATGTGACCTGCACATTGGTTCATGAGAACAACAGAATCTGCTCTGTAAGAGCAGGAGGCTTCTGATCCTGGTTTCCTGTCTTGGATGCTGGTGCCTCTTGACTTGCCTCTTGGAAATGGCTGCCTCTTCAAATCTGCACAGTTTAATTTGATTCAGTGTCTTGTTTGTTCCTGAGTCAGTAACATCCGAGGATGCTACAGAGAAGATTAAAATATTCTGTGAAATAACAGTAAGAGAAGCCTGCATTAAGACACGGACCCTCTTCTGCACTGCAGCCTTGTTACCTCTTCTCCCCGTGGTTTATAAGCCTGTGCCTGTCGTGTTTGTCAGCTGGACTTTCGTGAAATCCTCGAATACCATCATGTCAAACACAACGTGCTGAACGTGGAGCGCGTGTGGAGTCTGCTGGGCTGAGGCCCTGTTGAGCCTGTGCCTGGCGCACACCGAGCGCTGGGGGCCACGGCACAACCCCATGGACAGGCTGGACCGCGCGTCGCTCCTGGGCACTGACCCCAGCAGTCCGAAACACGACTATAGGACAACTGCAGCTTCACACTGGCACCACTGCTGCCTCTCATGAGGAGAAAACACCTTTGGAAGTGCAGCAGCTTCAGAGAAGCTTCTCCACCAACTCCCGAGGTTTTGATCTGCTTTCTGAAATTTATTTTCCCACTTCTCCATCCCCAGGAAAAATGGGAGCTCTCTCCAGAGAAATTGGGCTGATGATGCCGGTAACTAGTTCTGAAACTCTGCTGCCAATTGGTTCCTAGCAAATGGTTGCAAGGCAGTGGTACGTCAGGCTGGTGGTTCTAGGTGTGATGACTAAGGCAGACCTAAGGATTGTATTTAACCACATTCCACAGTGAAGCTGTCTGCTTTTCTAGATGAGGTACCAAATTTACACTGATCCTGCAGCTGTAAAACTTCCAGACACCTTGAAGATAGAAAAGATGCAAGTCAATATAGATTTTTTTTTTGAAAACTGAAAACCAGAAGACTAAATTGAAATGTCAGATATGTCTTCAAGAATTAATTGCAACTTTAGCAGTCAGTATGAAGTGCTTAATGCAGTTGGTGTGTGGTCTATTTGCAGAAAATATTGACTATATCTCATTTTGGAGAAATGCAATGTGAGATACTTGTTTGATGCATCCCTGAAATAGAGGAAAACCTGAAAATAGAAGAGCCACAGTAACCTTTCTTTCTGCTTATTAGTTATACCTGTAGGGCTTAGAAATGGTATGGTAATACAACATGAGGTCTCTAGTGCAAATACACAAGAATCTTGTCTTTCTGGAAGGAAACGACTAAATGAAAATGTCATCCTATGTATATTCATTGTAATGTAGCCCTAGGTTACATAGCTGTGTTGTGTAAACGCCTACAGTATATCAGAATTATGATAGCCCAATACTATGAGTCCTAAATAGAAGCATCTTTGAGTTATAAAACCTTTTTGAAGAGCATCAGCATCATTTATAGCAATAGTCCAAAACTACCTCCCTGAATACTCGATTTCCTCTCCTGCCCTTTTCTCCTGTCTTCATATTAGGGCTTTGGCGCAGAGCGACTGGAACATCCAGCCCTTTTCCCTCCTGCCGACCTTTGTTTCTCTCCACAAGCCATGGTGTACAAGGCTAACACCTGCAGCGTAAGCCTAAGTACAGGTTACGCCTTGTGTACATGGTGTACATGGTATACATGGTATACATGGCCTACAGGTGTCAATAAAATACCTCAAGGGAGGCAGTGAGGAGGATGGGGCGGCCTCTTTTCAGTGATGGACAGCAATAAGACTAGATGAAACGACCACAAACTGAAGCACCAAAAGTTCCACGGAAAAAGGAAAAAATTCTTGACAGTGAGGGTGACAGAGCCCTGGCACAGGCTGCCCAGGGAGGTTGTGGAGTCTCAGTCTCTGGAGAACTTCAAATCCCTCTTGGACGCAGCTCTGTGCCACGTGTTCTAGGTGACCCTGCGTGTGAAGGAGGGTTGGACTAGATGGTCTCTAGATGTCCCTTCCAACCTTACAGAATCTATGATTCTGTGGTAAAACTGAAGGCTTATTTTAGCCCGAGCTCTCAGACAGCTGTGGGGAGGGATGTGGCTCCTGGTAGAGATGACCTGTACAGGAGCACGGTGTGGCTGGCGCTGGCTCAGCAGGAACACACACAATTTCTTCTGTTCCGCTTTTTTTGCACAAATTCTTATTCATGGTTTTTCTGTCAAATGCATTTTTGAAATTTCAAGAGAAGTATTTTAAAAGGGTCGCTGTGAACTTGCAAAGATTTAAACCTGCACAGTCTTCTCTTTGGACTTTTCTGTAATGGCCAGGAGTTCATTATGTGGTGCTGGGTACTAGTATTGTCTCAGGCACTGCTTCTTGTATGAAAACAGCTCTGTACTCTCTCTGCCAGGCAGGTCCATCAGGAACCAAACAGGCTGAGCAAAATGCTGGGGCAAGAAGGGACATAACTTGTGCCTCCCAGTTTGCAGCCTTTCATTCC